AATATTTCCTGACATACAGGGTTTATTTAATTGTGGGAAAATGTAGCACGTTTAAAAAAAACACCGCGATACAACCGAAAACCGTGATAATTTTGGTCACAATAACCGTGAGGTTACATTTTCACACCGTGACAACCCTAATACAGACCATTTTAGATTAGGTTACATTTCCTTTATTCCCAGATTATGTAGTTTGTAGCACTCATTATAATGTTGTAGAAAATTTCTGGCCAATCCACGTGATCGGTATCGGTGATCAGCATTCTTTGATATCGGTATCGGTGATCGGCAGCAAAAAACATGATCGGTGCATCCCTAGTATTACCCCACTTTCACACCGGAAGCATCAGCAGCGCAAAACGGCGGCGGTCCGGTTTACTTGCAAACTTCAAAGCAATCCTTTTCACACCGGGAGAGTCTTGGCAGCGGCACGGCTTCCTCGCTCTGCTCTTCGCTGGAATCGAGATCACAAGATCCCTCCAGACTTCAGGTCACGGTTTATGCAATCCATCCTTAAAACCAAAAAGAAAGAGACCATGTTTTATGTCACTGTTTGATGTCATATATGATGATGTTCCTCTCCACTGCCAGGAATAAAGCCATACAAACACACCGCTGCACTTCTGGAACGATGCTGTGAATAAAAAAGCTGTTGGGTCACACACAAGCTTCATATATGAAATCGCATCACTGCAGTCATTGTATTTTGAAATTTACCAGTGATTTTACACTGAAACAGTGTGTGATTTCCTGTCTAGCCCCATGTTAACTGCGGAAATTGATGTGTTCCCGAAGCAATTCGTGGAAAAATAGAACCCGATCCTATCTTTAGCGGAGTGACGCTTCTAGGACGCGCCCGGAAATGGCCGCTTCGCTGCTGGTTTGAAACAGTCTATAGACTATAATGGATTCTATTTGAAACTGTGGCGTTCAGCTGATGCTTTCAGTGTAAAACCGCCGTCACTCTTCAGAAGAGTCAGTCACATTTGCCTCTTTACTCGTTACCAGTGGGCTAGGCTCCAAGAGATTTTTGACCCTAATGGCCATTAGCATTAACCAGTTTGACTATTAACCACCCAGATAGCAAGCTTACATAAACAATATTGGTTTTCTGAATCATCAGATTGGTTGACATTGAAATCTTGATGCAAACTAGATGTTGAGTGAATGTTGCAAAACCGACGAATCCTGACAGAAACAGTATGATATTGTAATAATTTCTCTCAAATGAAATCGAAGTGAAAATGCATTGATTTGTAGTTGTATTGAAATTTCCACGTTGTTTTAATATTTAGGTTAACTGAAATACAATTGTAAAGGCATTGGTCTACAGTTAATAAATCAATATTGTTTCAATATTAAATTAGGTGCAAAATGATGTTGATTCAATGTTTTAACGCTGACAAAAAAATGTGGATTCTACATTGTAAGCTTGCTATCTGGGACGGTGTGACACACCCCGCAAAGACATCTCCAACACCGCAAATAAATAAATGAACAAATTACAGGATCAAAGCTAAAGTACCACTGAAGGAAGGCACGCAGCAGCAGAACCAGCGTTAGCAACCCCTGGGACACAGTCTGGGACCAATCCGTTTCCACCTAGGAAGGGCTTCAAGTCTCCCGTGAGGGAATATTTTAGACTCCCAAAGCTGCTAAAGGAGAAATTCAGAACAATGTCCTTCTGCAGAGCCGGCAGAAAAAATTGTTGGGACACTCCCAACTTGTTATCCTCTCCGAGATCATCACGCAGACACATGATCTCCATCTGAGTCGGATTACGTTAGCGACTGAAGGGAATTAACAGTAATTTTAGAGCAATCCAATGAATGACGGTTCACATTGTGTTGTTCTACATTTTCACTGTATCTGTCTATAACAAACCTGTACGGCAAGCCATTTTAATTTTTAATCAACTACCCCCAGGGCTTAATTTGAGCCGGATCTTGCCGGAACAAGATCCGGGAACTGTCTTATTTTGAAAGGACCGTTCCGGCAACTGTCTGCTAGGATCCGGCAACTCACGCAACCAGCTTGTGCTTTACGCAGGGTCCGAATTACGGGTGAGCTAAAGGGATCCCAGCTCGCCTGAAAGGGTGACACTCCCCTGGAAGCCCCCAGCTTCCACACCCAGGGCGAGCCCAAAACAGCTCCTGGTTCTACTTATATTACATTATCTAGTGTTCCAGCATTTGTTTTGCCTTTAGTGAACTTTAGGTTGACGTCAGTATTTGCGTCCTGGGAACGTTTGATTTACAAATTAAGCACTGACTACACCTTTCTGTAGTTCCTGCTCTACAAAGCAATAATATAATTTATCCATGTCCAAATAATATTCTTACTGATGAAATTTGAAAGATATGAACAAGTAGAAATTATAATTAAAATAGCTTTCCGGAGTTTTCCCCTTTAAGAAATTATGTATGATTTTTCAGAAATCCGTAAAAGTGGTTATCTTATCAAGTAAATGATAAATGACCCGCACTTGTATACTGCCATTCAGAGTCAGAGGACTCCAAAGCGCTTTACACTGGTGTATCATTCATTCATTCATTCATTCATACATTCATTCATACACGCATTCACACACTGATGGTGATGAGCTACAGTCTAGCCACAGCTACCCTGGGGCGCACTGACGAAGGCAAGGCTACCGCGCCTGAGCACAGGCGCCACCGGTCCCTCCGACCACCCCCATGTACTGTGATGTAATATAAGCGATACGTCTTTTTTTTTTTTTTTTCCTCAGCACGCCCCCTTCCCTTGCAGAGCTCTGTGCACTAGGAAACTGAGCGCCTACCAGAACTAACCAATAGCGTTAGACTACCGCTTAGAGCAGGGGTGTCAAACTCATTTTAGCTCTGGGGCCACATTGAGGAAAATCTAGTCCCAAGTGGGCCGGACCGGTAAATTAAAAACAACTTCACATTGTTTTCTTTGTTTTTAATACAATTAATATAAAACAAAGCTGGAGCCTGAAGACAGTGGATCCAAAATAGTACAACACCTGAAGTGTATTAGAAAAATAAAAAAATAATAATAATAATAAATAAATCATTCCTTAGTGATTCAAAGAGCTTACAGATCACATGACTAGATCAGTTTCATGCAGCACTTAAAGTATATTTGACTCATTTTACTTTACATCTTTTAGCTTTCACCGGCACATCAACATCAGAAGTCACATCCTGAGTGGCGGCCAACTTCAGGATGTGATTCAAGTTCTCGTGTGAGCCTTGAGCGCAGCTTTGTTTTATTTATACTCATTACAGAGGAAACTTGCTCACAATGATAAGTTTATTTTCACTCTACATTGTAAAGTATGAAAATAAAGTTTACACAACCATCTTGCGGGCCGGATCCGCAAACGGGACATGACATGAGAGCAATACTCGTAAAACAACGTGTTTTAGCTGTTTGTCGGTTACAGAAGGACATAAATAAACAAGAAACGTGAAGCCGCCATCTTAAAAACACAGGTCAACAGATTTTTTGTGTGATATACTTGTCAGCCAATAGATGGTGCCATCGGATAAGAGACATACTCTGACTAGCTGCTTTAAGTAGTCTAATAAGTAATATTCATAATAGCGGCACTAGTAGGACGGTGTCTCCATCCTTCAACGCTAACCCTGACCAGATATCAACAGTTTAACCTTTTTGTCTTTTTACAGAAACTCACAAAAGGCTATTAGGCAAATATAATTAAAGGTGTGGTTCACTAAAAAAACACTATAATGATTGTTTCTGATTATAATGGGTCACTCGGAGTGTTTTCATGCAGGCTGAACATGGAAACAGTCACCTAACATTCACGGACTCACCCATCTTGACTCACAACAGGGAAGGCTGTTGTTGGTTTATGTAGCGTAGGCAAATCGAAGATTTTTATCTGTTATGACCAGGAAGATGTAATATTCTATATAAATATAAAATATTAACCTGCTAGGTCTTTATTGTAAGAAGATTCTTGGATTTAATTCAGAAGATCTAGGTTCTTTGCTTTTTCAGTGATCAACCACACTTCGTGTTATTTCAAGAGTCAGGTTTATAAAAGTAAGAATTTATTTTACAAACAATTATAACATGACTAACTACCTAAGCATTTACTGTGAGTGGATGTAACTAAACGTGATGAAGGAAGCTGTGTGTGAATGCGATGTCAGCCAGAGCTTCCTTATCAAAGTAAGCTGAGTTCTGGTGAAAAGAATTTGGTTTGCTCCGAGCTATAAAGTTGTTGTCATCAGAAGAACATCAGACGCTATCTGTCATGTCTACTTCACCCGTTTTGGAGAGACCCTCTTGGTGGATCCGAAAGTCGCAGCGGTCGGCTGACCTCTGGCACCAGTCCAGAGATGTCTCGGGTCACAACAGCTGGATGGAACCGTGCGTCTGGCGGACTCTTAAGGAGTCTAACGATGTCAGCTTTGTTTCTGCAGGACTGTTTGCTCATCAGCTTTGTAGGTGCAGAAAGGTTTTGACGACGTGTCAAAGTCTTTGATGGTTAAAGAGGTTTACTACAGATAGCCGGTCTGAAGTGATTCTCTAGAACTGTCGAATCACTCAGGATGATCCAGTTTTAAGGTTTTGATGTTATGACTTAAACAGCCAATCAGAGGCTGACAAGTTTGAGAGACGTTACCAAGACAACTCAGAAAAACGCCCTCTCGATACAGGATGTTCTGACTGGGTTAATACTATGCGTGTCAGGGTTTAACTTAGCTGTACTTGTTATTGTGTGAGTGTGAGGACCTCATCGTCAAAACATGTTGAACACGTGGCAGATTAAAGTTAAAGTCCCATTAGTTGTCACACACTCACAGGTGTGTGTGCGACATTTGTTCTCCGCATTTGACCCATCCCCTGGGGGAGCGGTGAGCTGCAGACACAGCCGCGCGCGGGAACCACTTGGTGGTTTAACCCCCCCAATCCAACCCTTAATGCTGAGTGTCAAGCAGGGAGGCGTTGGGTCCCTTTTTTATTTTTTTAAGTCTTTGGTATGACCCGACTGGGAATTGAACCCTGATCTCCCAGTCTCAGGGCGGACACTCTACCACTAGGCCACTGAGCTGGTACTAGTTCTAGTAGACAAACATAACATAACATCTATTCAGTGAGCATAGATTAATGAAGCCGTCGTCGTCGTCTTCCTCCACTTATCCGGGTCCGGGTCGCGGGGGCAGCATCCCAACTAGGGAGCTCCAGACCGTCCTCTCCCCGGCCACCTCCACCAGCTCCTCCGGCAGGACCCCAAGGCGTTCCCGGACCAGATTGGAGATGTAACCTCTCCAACGTGTCCTGGGTCGACCCGGGGGCCTCCTGCCGGCAGGACGTGCCCGAAACACCTCCCCGGGGAGGCGTCCAGGAGGCATCCTGACCAGATGCCCAAACCACCTCAACTGACTCCTTTCGATCCGGAGGAGCAGCGGTTCTACTCCGAGTCCCTCCCGAATGTCCGAGCTCCTCACCCTATCTCTAAGGCTGAGCCCGGCCACCCTATAACGAGCTTCCTCTGCGCCGTGTTTTTCGTTGTAGGATGAAAACTTTACATCGACACAGGAGGAAAGTTCAACAGAACATTTTTGCCGCTGCGTGTTTGCAGTGTGAGAGAGACAAAAGTGGATCAAATCCGATTTTTTTCCTCTCATGCAACCCAGCCTGAACAGCACAGATTCGATTTTTTCAGCCTCGATCTATGTCAGTTTTCAATGTGGCACAGATTCTGATACGTATCTGATGTTTTTGAAAGCGACTGCAGTCATAACGGTCATCAAATGACAGAGCTACAAAAAAAGTGATTCCCAGCCAGGGTCCGCGTATCCCTAGTGGTCCGTGAGACCATTACGAGGGTACGCGGGAACAGTACTACTTCATTTCCCAGATGAAGACAGCGCTCACTGTGCCCTGGTAAAAAAATTGGACTGGGACGTGTTTTGCTTGATCAATATGCAAATAAAGGAATGCACAGTAATATATGGTTAATATCATATCATCAATTATCAATTTAGGCCAACCGCAACTGTGCATGAATTTTGTCAAGCTGTGTTGGTTTTGGACTAGAGACTGCTGCAAAGGTTGTCAAAAAAATCATACCTGGATATAAATCGATACTAAAAGTGGTATCTAAATTAGAAATTCCATCCCCGTGGTATCGATATTAGGGAGTCTCGCATATACACAGCCTTCTTCAAGTACACCAACACGCACGGCAGCCAGATGTCGTAAAGCAGCCCCCGCCTCTCGGACAAACAGAAGAAGAAGACGCCGCATGGCTGCATTGCAATTTCCCGCGCGAGTTGTCTCCGATCCAAGTTTTGTTAACAGTGGCAACAGCGAGTTCAGGAGGCGCTTCCCAGCCCAGCTTAACTGACCACACAGAGAAAAAGTGTAGAAACACTTTGGATACAAGGCTGCCGAGTCGGGGAAAGCAACAGACCACGACAGACCCGTTTGCAAGGAGTGCTGCAAAGAGATCGCTGAGAGTCAAGCAGCACCGTGGTTAGCTTGCCAAATGAAGGCCAGGGCTCCCGGTCGCAGAGGTTAGATATAACCGTTATATTAGAGCAAGTGCTTAAGCGCTTCACACAGATCAAAACAAAGCCATGAAGTCATTATGATCTCAAAACAGAAATAGATTAACATCAGAAAAAATAAAGTAATAAATTTATAAAATTTCATAAACATATGAAAGATTAAATATTTGAGTTAAAAATGAGAAGTCAGATGAACAGCTGGGAAAATGCTCCGTGTTCTCATTACTCTAAAAAAACATCAAAGCTCGTGAAACTTTCTGATAATTTTCTAAACAATTCTGTCGGTTTACTGTTTTTTTTTGTGAGACGAGTAACTGTCCATGCGTTACTGTTATTCAGTCGTGACGTTTTTTTATTTAAACTAAGATTTTGTAACCGATTTCCTTAAAGATTTGTCAGTGTGACCTTTATTGAACTCCTGACATTACCAAACATTGTCCACCATCTTGCTCTTCTTTTTGATGTCATCTCTCCTAAACTTTTAGGCGAGAGATTGTAATGTCATTTTGTGCCTCTAGAGGGCGCAAGAACACTATGTTGACTTAAACACTACAGAAGAAGAGGTGAGCACGTCACACGATCAAATAAATGTACTTAACGGGTTACGGTTAACGGACTTAACCGTTCAGGGCGTCAATAACGTGCATCTCTAATGCTTTCTATTCCATTATTTCCATGAGAACTTAATGCAAATTTAACAATATCATATTACACCTTACCTCTATTACCAGCTTGTGAATGCGGTATTCATTTCAATACATACGTGTAAAAATCTTAGTGTTTGACATTTATAAGTTTTAAGGACATTTTGTGAAAAACAGTAGGGTTTTGTATTTTTCACTGTTTTCATCAATTCATGTGTTTACGGCAACTTCACATAAAATCAACAGTTTTTTAGTTGATTTCATGGTTTATCACTGTTAGATATACGGCTATAAGCGGAGCAGTCCTGGTGGTGGTTAGCTGCTGCTTCTGCTGCGTATGTCTGATTCAGTTCCACTTTCGTTTGGCTCCCAACGGGTCGCACCGTCGTCCTTTTTTAGTTTGCGGTGTTGGAGACATCGTTGTGGTGGGTTAACCGCAGTCAAACTGGTTAATCCCTGCAACCTTGCTGGACGTTCTAAAACTTGTTTACTAGACGTTTTACATGTTAGGATGTTTCACATAAACATTGTATTCTCTTTTCCCCGCCTCTTCAGACCACACACACACGTTTACACACACATGCTAGGCTACACTCTAGTTGATTGATTCTGAATCAAATCGTCACCCTGAGAACTGGAATCGAATCGAATAGTGAGTGGTTCTAAGATTCACATCCCTACTGGTTAGTGCAGCAAAAACTGGACCAGGCGTAGGGAACTACATGGTTTCTAACATGGACGTAATTTTCACTTTAGAAGTGGGGGGGACACGTGTGTGTGTGTGTGTGTGGGGGGGGGGGGGGGGGATCTTTACAGTATGTTCTAATGGGAAACAGGCTTCAACACAAATGATTGTTTTCTGCTTGGTCCTAGAGCTCAACCAGTGCCAATTTAATATAAAGTATTGGTAAAAAGTGCAGGGGTGAAAACTTGACTTTGGAGAAAGTGGGGGGGACATGTCCCCCCTGTCCCCCCCCCCAAAATTACGTCCATGGTTTCTAATGTAATTGTGTGGTGAAGACTGAAGTTTATTTTTATTTATCATGTAAAAATGTTCATGCAGTCATCATAGCAGCACAGGAAGTGTTGCAGTTGAGATCTTTTCTCCCACTGTGTGATGTTTCCTGGTCCCCAGGTGCTGTCAAGTACCTGGAGTGCTCTGCGCTGACCCAGCGAGGCCTGAAGACGGTTTTCGACGAGGCCATCCGAGCCGTGCTCTGCCCTCCACCCGTGAAGAAGAGAGGGAAGAGATGCACCATGTTTTGAGACACAAACACTGCACTAACAGTACACTGCATCACCACAAACAATAGCCACTACTGCTCTGAGAGGTAGATAGTGACAGCCGGTGTGCAACTCTGTAATTACTTTCTTTAAATTGATGGGATTTCTTTTTCAGAACTTGTATTGGTAACAAGTCCAATATTTAACAAACTTTTAATGTTATTGAACAAGATACTAGGTTTTATGTAAAAGACACTGACTGTCCAACTACTTTGTACTCGTTAAAGCAGATGTCAGCCAGGATTATAAAGGTCTCTAGAAATCATCTCCATGATGCAAATCCTCCACTTTTCAGCCTCGTTTGCTTTGATGAGTGGAATAGTGACCAGGTAGAAGAAGAACTGTGAAAACACCTTTAGGTCTGAAGTTACCCTCAGCTTCTTACGTACGTTCGGCATGTTGGTGTCTGATGCATCTAGTCGGCTTGCGGGTTCACTCACGAGTCTGCTCGTTGTTCGGATTCGAACAAAGCGGTGTGGCGCTGTCCTGGAAGCTTGACCGTGAATGACGAACAGAAACGACTGCTGGTTCATCACCTCAGCCTTTACTCGCGTTTGCACACCGCTGTTAACTCTCGCAGGACTGAGACGGTTTATTTCAGTGGAGCTTTTAGGATCGGAGGTGTAACTTTGGCCTGCAGTTTATTTGTTTTCTCACACTTTGTCTTGTCTTTTGCTTCGTTATTAAATTTTTTATTAGTGTAAAGGATCGGTCGAGAATACTTAATATCGTCTTGATTAGAAGATCCAAAATCTAGAGGTTTGAAAGCCAGCCTGGCCTCTTCGTAAGTGCTTGCTGTAATGTGGCAGAAGGTAAACCTCGCAGTAGTACTCCGTACCAAATCAGTGTTAGCGACGTTGGTGTGAGATATCTAATGCTGTTCTTTTTCAGTTTGTGCTTTTCTGCACCTGGCTAGCAGCCGGTCTTTGTCAGAGGTCTTTGGGTAACTTCACGGGACCGTGGACGCGTCAGATGAGCATGCCAAACACCACGGTGTTAAAACCCTCGCTGCCTGAACGCTCCCTTCAACAAAACAAGCCTGCATGGGTCATCAGATGAGCTGTTCTGTTTTATGCCAACGTTTAGGTCTAGTCTGTTGCTCCGTGTACGTACGTGCATGCGTGTGTGAGTCACAGGCACGTACATAAATGCAGGTGTACATGGTATTTTTGGACCTTTTGGGTTGATGATAAACAAAGATATTGTTTTAAGCCAAGTTTCCTACTATCCATTTTTTGGTACTATTTCATATTGTGGTATTACTGCAGCAAAAAACATTTTCAAAACTATGTAGACGTTCTAAACAACTACGACTAACATCTTGTGATGCTTAGAAAAAGAATACTTTGTGTTCTCAAACTAAAACCATTCAGCGGTCCTAGTTACTCATGTTAAAGTTAGTGGTGTTGCCAACATTGTATAGCATGTCATGTGGCGAGCAGTGCAGCTTGCTTTTTGCTGGAAAGCCTTTCTGTGTGACCGCGGGACGGTGGGGACTCACCCTGCAGCGCCCTCTGGCTGCCTCTGGTCGACGGTGTCCCGTCGTGCGGTCCTGCCTAGCTAAGATGTCGACATGCAGCTGAAAAGTTGCAAAAGAAAATATTGCATGGAAGTTCTCTGATTATTTGATCCCCTGTATTTCTAAGCAGTTGTACATTGAAATGCCTCGACCATGTACGTATGTAATGTAACTTGTTTACGTGTTCCAGCTGTTTTTTTGTTTTTTATCCCTTCATGTATGTGTGGTAAAAAAGGTTCAATTTTCTATACGAAATCCAGATGAGGTAACTATCTCCATGTTGTGATTTACTTTCGTCGTATCCGACCTGCAAACACGTCAGAAGTTGATTGCAGATGTTGTAATGGTCTGAAGGTAACCTGAAGCAGCCCTTGGGGGTGACCCTGTGCAGCCCTCCACTCTAATTCAAGAATAATAAAACGTGTTTCTCTCTCACAGGCTGTTCATGCAGATGGAAACGTAACAACATTTGTATGTTCCAGTAAATAAAAGCTTTTAATGTGAAAGGGTTCGTCTGATCCTGCCTTTTGTTAGTCAGCTTTTTATTTCACAGTAAATCAGACCACACACACACACACACACACACACTCATTCATACAATATGCTCGGAAAATGAGTGCACCCCACCACGTTTATCAGGAAACCTTTAACTTCCTTTCAGAATAAACCTTTTCTACGAGACGCCATACAACGTAATACTCCTACAAAGGTGGGAAACTGATTTAAAACCACGTTTGTTCATTTACACACAGAAAGGGTTTTTCCTAACAAGTCCATTTAAATGAGTTGGGCAGCAGAAGCTCAACAGGTTGAGCGGGTTGTCCAGTAATCAGAAGGTTGCAGGTTCGATCCCGGCTCCGGACAGAGAATGCTGCTGTTGTGTCCTTGGGCAAGACACTTAACCCACCTTGCCTGCTGGTGGTGGTCGGAGGGACCGGTGGCGCCCCTCAGAGCGCCCCAGGGCAGCTGTGGCTACATCGTAGCTCATCACCACCAGTGTGTGAACGTGTGTATGAATGGATGAATGATACACTGTAAAGTGCTTTGGAGTCCTCTGACTCTGAGAGGTGCTACACAAGTGCGGCTCATCTATAGTCTCAGGAGAAAAGCCACACTTAAGACTACTAAATTCAAATGAACAGACGTTCATCCACAGTTATGGAAGCCCATTCCCGCCACTCGTAAAAAAAATAACTACTTTATAATTATGACTTGGCTGTGTCATTATACGAGATACTAGCTGAAATGCTGCCCTTGCTCAGAGATGCAGATCTTTAGTCGTTATTTAGAGTCTGCTTGTTTCCATTGGCCGTTGCGTGCAGAAAGCAGAGACCTGACAGCTTTTATCACTCAGGGACAGTTCAGACTTTGGCTTCAGCGCCTTCCACTTTTCAGAAGAGGCTAGCTACAGGTTTGCTGTGGTACCAAATGTTGCTCAGTACTTCAAACACGTCGTGTGGGATAAGTCTGAACATGATGCTGCGGTTTGAGGTCACAAGACTCAGGCCTACAGCTGAAAATGAACAAATGTCAGTTTAAAAAGACCTGCATTTGCTAGCTTACACAGTTACATCACAGCTATTCAGCCCACTAAAGAGCCCCTTGCTGCCATCCTCGGTGCTCCGCCCCCTTCAGATGTTCTCATGCTTCTCTCTTTTCTGGTTGTCATGGTGCAGTAAGTTGATGCCGTGAATCTGACACCAAGACTTAAACGAGGGAGAGCAGTGAAAGCAGAACCCAGGGGCCAGAATATAAAAGCGAGAACGTTCTCTCTTTTTATTCCGTAACCAAGAACAATATAAAACAGAACAGACGAAAGTCTCTTCTGAGCACCCTATAAAAATAAACGCATGAACATGTTCCGCAGCACCAGGGGAGGGTCCAGTCCCCTCAGCGCTGTTCAAACCACCCAAAGCAAATCCTGGTGCAGGTATGAGGCCCGGCTGACGTCACTGCTATCCCCGCCACTACAGCTGTCGCGCCGCTTACCCACGGGCCTCCGGCTCAGCCCGGCGTCACCCTGTAAGCATAAACACACCGACCACCCCTTGTTCCCTGAGACAGTAAAACATCTGTATCATCTAAACAATCAAAACATATAATCAACAAATACATTAAGTATAAAACATATAAACAACACAACCAGAGTAAAGATGACATTTATAAAGTGAAGCTCAAAAGTCTGATTGTATGTGAATGCAGCACAGCACTTCAAGCAGTGCATGGTCTCTGTGGTCTTCGGCCCAGGAAGGCATCAGGCGTCACTGAGAGGACAACAAACATCCCAGTAGTGGTATTGTAAGAAAAAGCCGTAAAAACCTGACAAATATGGCTAAAGAGTGTTTCTCTTGAGTCAGGCCAACATAAATATAAAAATACATTAGAAGCTTAGCAATTACATTCTGAAAGGAGCTTTATGCGTGTATATGTAAAATACAATGTTCTAAATATGGTGAAAATGTAAAAACAAGAAGGAACATCTGTAAAAATGATCCAGTCCAATACGGCAGCCTGATTACATCATCATTTGCAAATCTGATGAATGAATTTGCTCCCAACACAAATTTTGGGTTCTTCTGAAGATTTTTCTCATTTACTTTTATCTCCAAGCAACAACCGTTTGAAAAACCTTATTTGTGTTTAAAAAAGAACCAAAAATGGAATTTGAAGACAAACACAGCAAGAACGTACAAAAGATTAAATGTATTCATTTAAAAAGTAAGAAAGGAGGGGCATCACCACAAACAGGCTCGTTTTATGTAGAACAGCCATTAGGAGAGGGTCTCAGATTAAAGATGATTAAACCGAGTGTACAAGCTTTTACTTAACTTTCAAAAATGATAAATAAACCTGCTGCAAAATAGCAAACAAGAATGTTTTTACTGTACTTTTGTGTGTTTTAGGAGAACGTGTAAATAAAATCAAACATCACAAGCATGAGATTATTAAATTACATCATTTTCCCGTAAAAGTCGATCATAAATAGTGTGCAGATTGCCTGAAGTGAGATCTCCCGACATGGGGGAACAGAATTTCCAGGCCTGGGACTGAGTACCCATGGACTAGAGACACTTACTACTAGGGACAGCAGTAGCTGAGGAGGTTGAGCGGGTTGTCCAGTGTTCGAAAGGTCGCAGGTTCAAGCCTGAATCTAATTGGAAAGTTCTGCTATTGTGTGCTTGGGCAAGACCACTTTTGTTTGCTCTTTGTGTTTGTGAATTACTTATTGGTGTGTCATCTGTGAACCAATAATCTGCACATAACTGTCAGAGGCACACCTGTTCTCCGACAGGTGTGCCTCTGACAGAACACCGCTTCGTTCCAGTGGGATTAGCTGTCAAATATTGTAAATATTGTCATAGTTGTGAAAAAGCTTGATAAAATGTGTTTTTAGCTGGGTAAGCACCTTCCTCGGTAGAAATGAATGCACTGGGGGCGAATGGAGACCCAACTAAGATGGCGTCCGTCCAGAAGTTTCTGGAGAAGCAGCTGGTTGCACGGAGAAGTTACGGTTACACAGACGACTTTGTGCAGCACATCTTTCATTACGTCCTCCGATACGGGCTGTTAGGACCCTGTACCCTGCCTTCATTTTACTCCTTAAGAGTAAAATCCCTCTACTGTGGATTTAGTTCTGTGTTGTAATCCAACCCCTCCTCTTTAATCTGGGCTTGGGACCGGCAGAAGTGACCCAAAAGGGAAACCCTGGCAGAGTTAGTTGGATTTTTTTTAGCGAATTACAATTCTTTTTTTTAAAACGTACTCAAGTAAAAGTAAAAGTACAGATTTTAAAAGCGACTTATAAATATACAAAAAAGCTACTCAGTTACAGTAACGTGAGTAAATGTAATTCATTACTTTCCACCTCTGGGAGGCAGATGGAGGAGATGTCAGTCAGCTGCAAGTTTGGTTTGAAGCGGTTTGGTTCTTCTGATGATGACATCAGATACAAGGTAAGCCAGAACGTCAGTAGTGTTGTAGTAATATTTTTTACAGAGATTAGCTTAGCAAATAAAAAAATAAAATAGCATCAGCTCAGGTGGCTTTTTAGGAGCTCAGAATAAAATGTGTTTCCTGGATGTGGGAGGCATGCTTAGGTAAATATGAAGTGCTTTATTTCTACATGAATTCTATTCACAGAGGAATGTTTACAGTTTGGTTGACATGGGAGTTTCATTAGCTTAACCAGATTGTTGACATTTCAGCAGCTGGCTTAGAGCTGCATTGCCTGTTGTAGTGGGTCTGAAGATCACATATAAAGTGGTTTTATGTAGGGCTGCAGCTATCGAATATTTTTGTAATCGAGTACTCTACCAAATCTTTTATTGATTAATCGAGTACTCTAATAAGTTACCCTTTTGTGTTTGTAAACCATTATATCAAATAGCATGTTGTAAAAGATGGAAGACCTCTTAAAATGAACAAGCAGTTGCCAGTTATTCTTAGGGATGCACCAATACGATACTGGTATCGGTATCGGTAAAAGTTAACTGATACCGATACCGATGCAGTTGCTTGAAAATGGCTTCACTGTAACTTGTCATTTCTGTTCACCTAATATTTTAGTTTTGTGATGATTTCCACTCATATATTTTACTTTTTATCTACCTCACAGTCTTTTCCTGTTGAAAGCAGAGAAGAAAACAAAATCTGTATTGCAAATCATTGCATTTTTTGAGTGGTAGAAGTATTGGTATTGGTAATCTGCGTCAGCGAGTACTCAGATCCAAGTATCGGTATCGTATCGGTTTGGAAAAAAGTGGTATTGTTACATCCCTAGTTATTCTTCAAGTGTTATTCAAAAGGAGTTTTCAAAACTTCAGCTCTTCAACTTTATTCACAGTAAACAAACGCCTGTGCAAAAAATAAGTATACAACCTGTGTCATGAGCCGGGGTGAGTACTCCTGTTCTCTTAACCCTCTGTGAGTCTCTTGCCAGGAGAGGGAGTGGCCCAGCTGTTCCTGATCAGGGTGTTTTTCCTATTTAAGGTGGATGGAGGACACAGTTCGACGCCGGAAGATTGCCTCAGCTTTGGTAGTAGCCAGCCACTCGAGTTATCTCTAGTATTTCTAGGATTGATGTTTTTCGTAGTGTCTTTGCTCTGTGTTGCATTCTGCATGTCTTGGGTTAGGTACCTTCCTCCAAACATGACAACCTGAGCCATTTTCCCCTCGTGTGAGAGTCTACCAGCCCAGCAAGCCAGACAAAAACTAGGAGGATAACTGTTGAAGTAGCGCTGCCAGCGGCTGCGGCCCACACAGCACCAGAACCGCTCACGGTGCATGCTCAAACAGCTCGCCAGCTGTTTCCCTATGAACACACGTCCGCTTTAATTTCTACACTTTTTTTCTCACACAATAACAAGGATTGTCGAGACAAAATGTACCGCTTGCTAAAGCCTGGGCCAGAAAATCCTAATGTGCTACTGTGGGTAGATTGTTACAGTTCTACGTTGTTGGTGTTCTTTTTGTATGAATAAGATTTGTCCTAATCATTTGTAAATAG